TACTCGAAACACTTCTTCGTCTAGCAACACCTTCTTCAATTCGGTTGATTCCAACTGGCCTACCTTGCTTAGCGGAGCTCTCCTTCACATTCTTCATGCCCGGCCTCCCAATTTTTTAGACCAGTATTAGACTTAGTCGACTCTTGGATTCTCGCATCCTGAGCAACCGCGACCTTCTTCAAGTAGAAGCTCTTGCTCAAAGCCTACACAAAGCATGCAATTAAGCTTTGTAACTTAACAAAAGAGTTCAAATCAAGATATACTTGGAGTTGTTGAGTCATTACCCTGGCCATAATAGTCATCCCCTCTAATTTAGTCGGTTCATCAACGAGGAGAAAAGGAATCGGCAGATTCCCCATCCCATCTACGTCGGAGTAGACCAGACCGGACGCGGCCGGTAGGGAGGGTGATCATACCTTCTCGTCCTCATCAAACGGACCTCCTTTGATGAACCAGCTCCGGCTAACGACTATCTAGCTAAGGAGTCATCTCGGTTTGCTGGACTTGGACTTTTTTGGGATCGACTCCCTCTTTCTCTTGGCTGATGTTGCGCGGCCACCTTACTTGCACTTGGTATATCCAATTCAAATTCCTCCAGTCTCTCTACAATGGCAACTCTTCAAGTGTTAGTGGATGAAGAAACAAATGTCGGAAGAGTATAGGGTTACAGTAGCGAATCAACGCACGTGCCACACTTGCTTCAATGAGGGGAATAGTACCTCTTTGAACAGCCTCAACTCCGCCAACAGGTAACTCGTTCTCAGGTTGGACTTTTTTAATACCACTTACCATCTCTCTGCTCCTTTGGAATGGCGAAAACTTCTCTAGTTGTCACGTCCAATCGCTTCGCTTTGTTTAGCTCAGTTGTAGTGGGATCTGCAAGAGAAAGGGAAACAAAGCTTATTAATCACAAGTATAGACTAAAATCAATCGCTTCCCCATGGCTCTCCATGTGTACGGTATCTCGCCTCGGCCTCTCTCGCCAAATATGGCTTCACCCTTCAAGAAGAAGAAACACTCTTCCAGTTCTTGTCACTCTACCTAAGGTTGGTCACCAAGTAGATGCGGTCATGCCTTAAGGTGATGGCGTATCTACCGTTCTCTAGTTGTTGCTCCTTCAGATAATAAGAATATGGAAACTCGCAGACCAAACATCACTTGGTTCTGGACCTCATCACCTCCAAGCAAGCAATAGTCTCCACCCGTTCGGCATGATTTGTGTCTGGACTATAAAGTGGTTCAACACCTCCCAGATAGTTTGGGTTGGGAAGGTGTAACCATCATAAACCACACTCATACCCACTAACCTATCTTTTTGCCTCCTAGTCAACTCGTTTGTAACTCTTGAATATTCTGATTTCCATAGAGCTGAGTATGCGGTACTGGGTCCGAATCTGCCACCATCATTCTTCTTGAGTAGAGGTAGATAGTCGATGCCCAAAATCCACCTGGTTGGTTTGACTTCTCTGCTAATCTACCACTGTTGAAACATCACTTTTAGAACTATCGAACCTGTCATCCGTTTCTTCCCTACTCGTCCTGTACTCTCATAATTGTCGCTACTCAAATCAACACCATCACCTGGCTCGAAGATAGCCACGTTTAACCCCTTGGGAATTCCCACTAACACATTACCTTCTTCTGGCAGTACCACTATAGTGGGAGCACGTTCGTACTCACCTCCTATGTCTATCTCCATTTGACTCTCCTCACTCAACTCAAGTGTAACATTGAATAAACCTTAGTACACTTCTCACCTCACTCTACCGGTCGGTAGACCAACTGGATGACCAAGGCAACCCTAATTTCAACTAGCCCCTTAACGCAAAACCAAACTCACTTCACTACTCCCATAAAGACCCGAGACGAGCAGGTGGTAACCTAAGTAAGTTAAACTTATCTTCTCTCAACCAACAAACACAAAAAAAACCCAGAATTTTGGCAAAATCACCCAAAATCCCCCAAAAAAATCCCACTGTTCACCAAAACTCTAGTTTCCCAGGGAAACTCAAAAAATGTTATATTCTCTATTTTCTCAATACAATCCCTTTCGAACCCAATTCAAACTTAGTTTCTCAAGGAAAGAACGAGAAACCAGTGAAAACACCAAAGATTCACTCCCCCCAACCTCTTCAAAAACTAGCCAAACGCACTGAAACTACTCTAAAAATTCGAGGCACGAAAACAAGAAAAAGAAGTTGAGTTTTGTAAGAGAATGAAGTTTTCCCATGAATAAACATGATGTGTCTGCAAACCGCCGCTACAACTAGAGGGAGTTTTTGAGGAAAGACCAAAAGCTAAGAATGAAAATATAGGAAGATGTACAATCACCCTAAAGAAGTTTATCCTTTTCTACTACTCATCCAGCCTATCAGAGGTGGCACGCGACAGCTAGATTGGGCATGAACATTCAAATTCATACTTAAAATGAGAAGAAATCCCTATCGTACACATGTGATAAGCTACCTTAGGAGTTGCAATCCATTTCTTGCTCAAAGTCCATGAAACCTTACATTACACTGTCTCGTTCTCCCAGCACAGCAAATCAGACTCAGACAGAACTCGCCTCACCTGGACAAGTCGCTCGAGCTCCATCCTCAAAGTGATGAAATCTTCCTCTCAAAGTTTGTGGGCAGACTACATTCGCACTTAGCTTGGTCGTCGAGTCAGGACATCTACAAAAGATGTGCCTTGCATCATCTCGCTCAACTCGATCAGCCAAATGAAACACCAAATAGGTGTACTTCGTGTCTTATCACTCGACTCGGTCAATAGAGTGGGCACAACTACAGTAGGTTGCACCTCGCATCCTATACCCAGCTTGGTCAGTCGAGTGGGCTCAGCTACAAAAGGTTGCACCTTGCATCCTATCACTCAGCTCTGTTAGCAAATAGGGCAAATCCACAAAAGGGTGCAATTTGCATCCTATCACTCAGTTCGGTCAACCGAGTGGGTACATCTACGGTAAAGGAACTTTGCATCATTCGTCAAGACAGAACACCTTCATTCGGCTGAGGGAACGCTCGCTTGGCCTGGGATACCGTCGTCCGGCCTAGTTAACCTCCACTTAAACTGATTACTCACCTAGCTAACTACTTCTTAGCTTAGAGAGTGGGGGGGCTAACTGTATGGGCCAAAAATCGTCTTGGGCCTGAGATATTTTCTACTATGTAGGCCCAAAGCTGTGGCCTAATTCTACTTAGGCAAACATCAGAATATATGTCATAGGCCAAAATGCATAGCCCAAACCCAACCTCTCTCCAGATTAGGCATCACCATTGGCCTGCCTAGGGATAGGCCCATTGGTCCAAGATAATTAGGACCTTCCTATTTGGGTTCTATCCTAATTCACCTAAGATTCCATATCATAGGTGAATTAGGACTCTTAATCCTACTAAGGCAAGTAAATTAGGATCTTTTCCTATTCACTAAACCTCTACCATTATGGATTCAAAGTCCTACTAGGATATGAAGATCCTACAACTACTACTATATAAATAGTGGTCACACCTCTGTTTGGGCATTCAATCTCAATACCACCTACTTCCACCGAAGCTCTTACTCCTAAGAGTTATACACCTAAGTTGTGGTTCTAGTCTTCGACTAAACTTTCGATAACCCTTCCTTCCCTTAGCCCTCACTAAATTGTCTCATTCAGCCTTGCTGACTTGAGCGTCAGAGTGCCTATGGCAGACACCACACCGGTGTTTACGAAAGCTTCATACTTGTTTAATTTGTATGCAGGTACAACAGATTGTCAGTGACCTCAACTTCACAGGATCAGACCTTCTTCCAGTAACTGTAGATTTTAGCATCTACAGGTATATATTTCGTTTGAGAGTTGGATTACATGTTTTATAGCTGTAAAGGTTTTTGTGTTGGCTGATATAAATCTTTGTGGCAGTGATAAAAACCGGTCTCAATGTGATCTTAGCTTGCAGTATACCTAAGAATAGTCCTATGCTTGAGGTTTGGCTCTCTCTCAAGTGTTTGTGTTTTGGTTAACATCACTTCTTTTTGTTGTTGTGTGTTTAGAGCTTGTTGCTGATATATATATGGGTTTTTAGGTAAATGCGGAGAAGAAGTTGGTTGAGAAGCTGATAAGTTCGGGGTACACAAGGCCAAAATCTTCATAGCGAAGAGGGGCCGCTTTTTTTTTTTTTTTTTTTGGGTGGGTGAAAGTGCCATTATGATGTAGGCTCCTGTTGAAACCAAGGAATTATTAAAGGGGGTTCAATACCCATATACAGATTTACAGACAGTAATTTGTTTTGTTTTCCTCGGTAGTTGATATTCAGTGATTTGGAGGTGTTATAACTGATTCTTCGTTAGCTCTAGCTTTTCCCTTTATTAGGAGCCCTGTCTTGTTATGCAAGAAAGGTTACTGTTATGAAAAAAAATTTAAGTTTCGCTTGTGCTGTTTGTAAAGAATTGTTCCTATGAATTTTATGTGCATTGATCTTGCTGCTTTTTCGTGTTTATGACTCGTGATTTCTGTTGGGACATATGTAATTTACTGTGTAACACCTCTTGTGGAACTGATAGTGCAAGGCTGCCCTTTGGATCAATGAGACAAATTGATGATTATAATGGCCCAATTTCAGGTCTGAATCTGTGTTCTTCAGTAATCCAACACATAATGCCAACTTTTTGACTGATACGGCGATCAGGAACCCAAAACATCATCCAAACTTTCTTATGGTTTGCCTTTGGTTGGACTACATTTATCACTGCAATCATTGGCATAGTTTTTATACTTCTCTTTTATAAGTTAATAATTTTTGAGTGATTTGCACATGGTATACTCACTGAACATTAATATTTGTAATTTTGTTGACACTCCAAGAATAGAATTTATACTTATTAAATGTTCAAAAGGTAATCCTTTTAAGCAAAGGATAAAGTTTTAATTTTGTTTTAATTTAGGAATATCAGCTTGCTTTCTTTGGTTAAATATAAATAGAGTTCAAATCTGATTGTTGTGACATGTATATCTTCAATTTCTGAAAATAATTTTGTTGCGATGGCCAGTCGCATTGGTTTAAAGGTCCACAAGACTGGTATAAATGTTCTTTCTCTTTGTGTATTTATATATGTGCCTTTGAATGATCGTAAACATTCAACATTATTAGTAGTCTATTATCATGTTGATGTTATTATTGCAGAGATCACAAGATCTGTATCAGAGACACCACCAACTCATTATACAGTCACAATACAGTCATTTTCATTGCTTTCCAAGAACGATAAGAAATATGAATCTGCAGAATTTGAAGCTGGTGGTAACAAATGGTATATTTCTTTCCCGAAACCAAATCACATCTCATGTTCTTTAATTTTAGACTCCATTATTTTAGTTAATTATATTCATGATAATGATTGCAGGAAACTTGTTCTCCACCCAAATGGAAATAAAAACAAGAATGTGGCGAACCACATTTCTCTCTACTTAGCCGTGGCAGATGCAAGTTCACTCCCTCCTGATTGGGAGGTCTCTGCAGTTTATCGGTTGTTTTTGCTTGATCAGAACAAGGATAACTACTTGGTAGCTCAAGGTGTGTAGGACAATTTAGCTACCTCCCACCTTTTTTCTTGTTAATTTTACCTTATGATATGTGTATATTTCTATTATGGAACGGACGTCTAGATAAAGTGATCCATGCATCTAATCCAAGATTTTTGGTCTCTAATTTCATTATATCTTCAACACCTTCAATTAAGCCTGTGACTCTTACTAATTATTTGGTAAATTGTAATGCCTAGAGCCCCAGGGAAAGCAAAGACGGTTCCATAGATTGAAACCTGAACGGGGTTTTGATCGATTCATCCCAACTAAAGTATTTAGCGATGCTTCTTATGGATACCTGGTGGATGACACGTGTGAGCTTGGAGCAGAAGTTTTTGTTAGTAAGGAAAGAAGCAGAGGCAAAGCAGAGTGTCTAGAAATGATCAAAGATCCTGGCAGTTTTAAGCATGTTTGGAAGATTGAAAACTTTTCTATGTTAGCATCTGAATATTATGACTCCAAAGAATTCACTGCTGCTGGTTTCAAATGGTATCACTCATAACACTTTTCCATTGGACTTCAATGTGAATAGATTAAAGTTAGTTAATGTTATTTCTGTATTGGTTGCTGCAGGAAGATGCAGCTCTATCCTAAAGGAAGAGACACAGGAGCTGGATGTATTTCTCTGTACTTGGTTTTGGCAGATTTAACATCTCTTACTCCTGCTTCTAAAGTATATGTAGACTGTACTCTGCGCATCCAGGATCAAGTGGAAAACAGGCACATATCTTTTAAAAGTAAAAACTTATTCTTACACAGCAACTTTATTACAACAAAAGCTTTGATTATATCTATCAATTTTATTTAGTATATGATCTTACAATGTCTATAAGACGATCTTAACATGTCTATAAGACGAAAAAGCCGAGATTTGCGCAGCTATTCTATATGTGGAAACTAGGAAAGCTAATAATGTTCCTTTCTCTTGCAGAGAGTCACTGGTTCAGTGCCTCAAGCCGGGAAAGTGGTTGGGCAAGATTTTTTCCCTTGAGTTTCTTTCTTCGGCCTAATGATTGGGTAGTGAACGATGTTTGCTTCTTGGAAGCAGAGGTGACCGTTCGGGGTATTGCTAGTACTTTGTTATAAGTTGTCTAAGTTCTCAAATGTCCCAAGTGAATTGTGGGAGAAAGTATAATAAATGTAGCACTATTTTATTTCTTAAAGATTGTAAATTTACAGAAGGTACCAATAATTAAAAGCTGTCTTTTACATTTGAGAAGCCAGTGCCAAACCATTGGAGGTGAATTACACACAATTGCAGGAACACATATTTACCAGGAAACATGATGTTTCTCAGCCGAATGTTTTCTCGCTGCTATAGCACATATACAGGAACCCATCATTTACAATGAATGAATTGTTCTATAATTTGCTATCACACTCATAACAAGATAAAAGTATGTTTATATACTAGGTTTAAGTAACAAAACCTAGTTTACAAGGATTTCTATTCCTATGTCCAACCCAATAAGAAATTAATAACTTAAAGAAATTCTATAGCGGTTATACAAGGAAAATGCCCAAACCGCCTATAGGCGCAAGGGCGCTGCCCCCACGACCCCCGGCCGCTCACTATTAGGAGCCCTGTCTTGTTACACAAGAAAGGTTACTACTGGGCCCTCGCTCGCTGACTGGGCAACGGGACCTCCGAATGCGTCTGCGTAACCCAATAATGTTGAAGTAGTCGACAACTCTAGTAGAATTCACGTTGCGAATCTTGAATCAAGTGCAGGCCAAGCACATAGTTGGTACAGGTAGAAGTTGTCACATACTCGTTCCTTCAACACGACCGGTAGGAAGTTAATTTCAGCCACTATGCCAGAACCATATCTAGATAAGCTCATTATTTCCCATTCTCTGACAGCTAAATACTGGTTCAGTGCCTCACAGGAGGAATATGGTTGGCCAAGATTCATGTCATTCACTTACTTAAATCTGCCAAGCACTGGTTGTCTAGCAAAAGGTGTTTGCTTGGTGAAAGCAGAGGTGACTGTCCTTGGAATTTCTGATGCACTGTAACAAGTCGGCTCAGTTCACAATTTCCCTCCTTGAAAACTAAAATGTGGCACTCTATTGAACTTGTGAAAGGCTGTAAATTTACTCTCAAGTTATCAATAGAAACCATGTATTTTACATTCGAGAATACTGTTTCAAATGTGGATAAATTGCTCCGTTTGACATGTTATATGCTTAGGGTGGGATTATTCCAATTTTCTACGTCTTTTCTTGGAGACCCTTTCAATTATCATGTAGAAAAGCACAAACAAACAAAATCTCATATGCAAGTTGATCAGTTAACCCATTATGGAATCTTGTATTGTTCTTGTAGTTGAAAAAATCAAGATGAAAAGGGCTTACACTTTTTAAATCAGAAGAAACACGTCACGTTGCCTTCTTACCTCCATAAAAGCATTAAATATTGTCGTGTTGATAATTTTTTATAAATAAACGTCTATTGAATATAGGTTTATTAGTATTTAAACACTCAACTATCCTCTTATGGGTTTGATGCGGAATTTTAAGTTACAACATAATCTAATGATAATAATAAACATTATTGGTAACAAAAGATAATTATATAATTTATATTGAATGATTTGGAGGGAAAGGTATATGGTTTAGTATTCTTAACTTGGGTTCACATTACCAAGAATAGAATGGATGCTTGCTCAATGTCGGAAAAACAATCCTTTTAAGTAAAAGACAACAGACAGTTTTAATTTTACCCTTAAAAATGAAACTTTAAAGTTTGGAATATTAGCTTCTTTTATTTTGTTAAATATAAATACGATTTTGGTAAATTGTAATGCCTAGATTCGCAGGGAAAGCAAAGACGGTTCCATGGATTGAAACCTGAATGGGGTTTTGATCAATTCATCCCAATTAAAGTATTTACCGATGCTTCTAATGGATACCTGGTGGATGATACTTCTGCGTTGGGAGCAGAAGTGTTTGTTAGTAAAGAAAGAAGCACAGGCAAGGGAGAGTGTCTAGAAATGATCAAAGATCCTAGCAGTTTTAAGCATGTTTGGAAGATTGAACACTTTTCTAAGTTAGCCTCTGAATATTATTACTCCAAAGAATTCACTGCTGCTGGTTACAAATGGTATAACTCATAACACTATTCCATTGGACTTCAATGTGAATAGATTAAAATTAGTAAATGTTATTTCTGTAATGGTTGTTGTAGGAAGATGCAGCTCTATCCTAAAGGAAGAGACTCTGGAACTGGAAGTCATCTTTCTCTGCACTTGGTTTTGGCAGATTTAATATCTCTTACTCCTCCTTCTAAAATATATGTAGACTATACTCTGCGCATCCAGGATCAAATGCAGGCCAGGGACCTAATTGCTAAAAGTAAAACTTATTCTTATACAGCGACTTTATTACAACAAAAACTTTGATTATATCGGTCAATTTTATTTACTACATGATCTTACTATGTCTATAAGATCTATAAGATGATCTTATCATTATAAGACGAAAAAGTCGAGATTTGTGCAACTGTTCGGTATGTGAAAATTAGGAAAGCTCATATTTTTCTTTCTCTTGCAGAGAATCACTGGTTCAGTGCCTCAAGCCGGGAAAGTGGATGGGCAAAATGTCTTCCCTTAAGTTTCTTTCTTGAGCCTACAAATGGTTGTCTGGTGAAGGATGTTTGCTTCTTTGAAGCAGAGGTGACCATCCGGGGTATTGCTAGTACTTTGTAATAAGTTGTCTAAGTTCTCAAATTTCCCAAATGAATTGTGAGAGAGAGTATAATAAATGAGGCACTATTTTATTTCTTAAAGATCGTAAATTTACAGAAGATACCAACAATTAAAAGCTGTCTTTTACACTTGAGAAGCCAGTGCCAAACCATTGGAAGTGAATTACACACAATTGCATGACCACATATCTACATATTTACTAGGAAACATGATGTTTGTCAGCCGAATGTTTTCTCGTTGCTATAGCATATATACAGGAACCCATCATTTTCCTTGAAAGATTCATAGATGGTATCCATGCGACTTGCTGTAAATAAAAAATGACAATTAGAAACGTTAGAAGATTCTCGGTCCTCAACAGAAGCTGAATTTCACGAAACGTCATTGAGGTTCAAAATGACACTGAATTTTAACCTGTTTGAGGCAATGTATTCTTTCCAAAGACAAATAGAGCTTTTCCAAGAGTCAGGTTTAGCCTTCTGCTTAAGATGCAGATAAATCACATGCTTCTCCGACCTCGTCGATGATGTCACTGTCCATTTCCAGATAATCCGTTTTCCTAATCAAGTTTTAGTTCAACTACTACTTCTACATACATAACTGTAATATGCATAACCGTAGATAGTGTTGAAAAATGGCTTTTAGCAAAATCACATGGGATAGAAATGATAATGGAGAAAGGTTTAGGGACTTATATGTAATAGGCCAAGAAAATGTTGTTTGTCCCACATTGATTAGGATTGAAAAGTGGGAAACTTTTTGGGCTTATATATAAGGACCTAAATCAATGTTAATTGTATCCCAAGTTGTAATTCCATTATACTTCTTTTGTTTAGGGTTCTTTCTTTAAGGACCCTTTAGTTTGCAAGTTTTGTTGTATCTCCCCTTTGTTTTGGGTATTTGTTGTATTGCCCACTATTTGTAATATCATTTGGGAGATCGATGGAGTTCTTTGCAGCGGCACCGCGGAGGAGTAGGTTTTATACCGAAACTCGGTTATTCCTGGTTTCTTTATTTTGCATTTACTTTTGGCCCCCTTTTTATGCTTAAATTGGATATTTATAATCATCAAATAGCTTGCGTTTAGAGTTTAGTTCGTTGCTAGCCAGATGGTATCAGAGCCTCGGTTTTAGGACAGGTGAGTAGCATTTGTTGGTTATGCCCGTCTCGGGAAACCTTCTAGTCCCCCAAAGTATGTGATTAAAACGTTTCAGGAGCCGGGGATTTTAAGTGGGCACCCTTGGGGCCCCCTCCAGTGTATTTGGGCAATTTTCTGGTGCGGAGATTACTCCACTTTCGCCCTTCCTCCTGACCTAGGGTCTTGTTACACTTTGTTGGTCGCTATGGATATCCTCCTTGTGTGGAGCGTGGTTCTTGGGAATTTTGTTACGCCAAGCCACTGGTAAGGCATAAAATGGGCCTTCACCGGGTCCAGGATTCATCGTTCGGAGGGGTCAGCCCGTTTGGCCGAAGGCGGCCGCACACAATCCGGCGGTAAGTCCCGCTGCTCCCCGCTTCACATGCCCCCTTAGGTGTTGCACCTTTGATGCCACCATAAATTTGCTGCGGCTTCTGCAGCGTGCGGGTAATGGCGCAGATTGATGAGTCCGCCGGCTTCTCGCTCTCGCTGCTGGGGGCGGGCCCAACGAACCAACGAGGTCTCTAGCGCCCGATTCGGTGGGCGGTGGCCGGTTACCCAGCCTGTGGGTTGCTTCGCGTCTGTCCTTCTGTCCGCGGCGCAGACCTCTCGCCCTGACAAGTGGGCCCGCGCCCGTCTGCCCCTCCGTTCGGGCCGGGCTGGCCCGACGCGCTACTGCAGCCCCGTGCCATGCGCCTCGGAGGGTCCTCTTTGATGCCACGACTGGTTCGTCTTCCGTTGAGCCCGGCGGAAAAGGTCCACCATCAACGTAGCCATCTGATGTCATGAGTTCACGATTTAATGGGAGTTGTACCCTTTGCTGACCCATTCCCGATGAGATCCGGGACCTCGTGTGTTCCGGGCTCTCTCCCGGATGCGTTGGACCCTATTTCGTTCGTCCATCTTAGGGTGAGGACATGCCCCCTTGTCCTTTGCCGAAGTTTGTTATAGCTCTGTCCCCATCAGGGCAAGCGCTTCGGCGACGGTCCGACGGCGGGCCTAGCGCTGCCGAATCGAGCGAGGGCCAAGAGCTGGCGCGCCGCTTGACTGTCGCCCGCGGGCGGCCGCGCACGCGATACCCCTCCGCGGTCCCTCCGCCGGCGCGCAGGGGCGCTTCTCGTTCCCAAGGGCCCTCCCTCGGGTCCCGTGCTTTTTGGGTTCAGTGAGCGACGGGCCTTGGCAGACGGCTTGAGTGCGCCGGTGCCACCGGCAAGAGGCACCGTCTTCTGTGTAGATATGTCCGGTGGTTGACGCTGGTGCACAGCGGCTGAGATCTGCTTTCGTGGTGGCTCCTTCGAGTTACCCTCCCTTGGCACCCCGTGCGTTGCTTATGGATTCAGGTTGTAGTTCCGTTCCATATGGTCCCCCCTACG